TGCTGGTGGCTGACGCCTCCATGGTCCGCAAGTACGGGAAGGGGCTGCAGCACTACCTGCTCACCTTGTCCTCCATCGCCTCCCGGCTCTACGCCCACGCCAGCCTGGAGAACCATGTCCGGTTGGCCGTGGTGAAGGTGGTGGCCCTGGGCGAGAAGGAGAAGGGGCTGGAGGTCAACAGGAACGCCGCCACCACCCTCAAGAACTTCTGCAAGTGGCAACACCAGCACAACCGCCTCGATGACGACCATGACGAGCACTACGATGCCGCCATCCTCTTCACTCGCGAGGTAGGCATCACCCTGACTGACGGTGACTTGGCGTCCCTCGAGCAGTGTGTCGTGGGGTGACTGGGCGGCAGTGAGGCCGCCCTGGCAGCCCATCGGCCACGCTGCCCGGCTTTGCACGGTGGTTGCCTCCCCACTTACGCCTTCGGCCTTTCCATCGGGTTGCACTCCATCTCTGGGACCGGCAGCCACACACACAGCTGCTGGGGATGGAAGAGGGGCTGAAAACCCAACAAATTGTGTATGCATCGGTGTGCGCCCCCTCCCCTGCGAGGTCATCCCCACTGCGGGTACGCAGTCATTCGTGCCAGTGCAGCGCTGGGACTCCTGCCAGGGTGGAGAGGTGCTAATTTGCCTGATTCGGGGACTCGGCTGAGGCCGCTTAATTTAATCTCTGCTTGAGAGATGACGTTGTTCCATCTTTCCCAGTGAGATGTTTCACACACAGCTCCTCTCTCTCTGGGGAGGTGGTCCAGGCAAAGGGCTGATAGTGCTCCCTAGCCTAAATTAGTCCCCAAACAAACCTGCTAGGGAAAATGGTGGAGAACGCCTTAAAAGTACATGCGACTTCCTTGTTGAGTGCGTTGAGATGCTATTTCCAGCAAGAATAGCTCTGCCGCACTGGAAGCCGGCAGCGCTTGTGGTTCAAGGGTAGGACGTAAATGCAAACCGCAGGTAAACAGAGCTGCAGAAGTTGGGTGAGTTGGGCTGGTGGTAAGGGGGTGCAGGCTCTTCCTCATTCCCCAAGTGAAAAACGGGTGTCCCGATCAACTGTGGATCGGACCTTACCCGTGCAGAGCTGTGCCTTGCTCCCTACCCGGTTGTCAATTAATTGCATTGTCAGAGGTCGTTACGGGACATTGGTCTAGTAGACATGTGGCTGAGTTTATGCAATGAAGTTCTTCTGTAAGAATATCCCTTCAGCGGTTTGGGTTTGGTGTTTTCTTTTTTTCCTTTCCCCAAGTATGAAAAAAATAACTGCATGACTTTCCGTTCGTTTGAGTTCTCTTGCTTTTCTACATCATAGGAGCCTGCCAAAAAGGATGCTTTGGATGGTTTGTGGAAGGAGTTGCTCCAGAAGGGGGGAAAAAAGCGCCTGGCTTGCTTTTATAGCTGTAAATAGTTGAAACATTAGGTTCTGTGTCAGTCAGGCATCACTTGTACAACAGGAGCTTTTTTTAGCAGTTTAAAGCCCATCGGTCCAATTTGCAAGCTTTCATTTTTTTATCATTATAATGTGAATGAAAGCAGGCTACCTAGGCTGGGTCAGAATGCTTTTGCATTTTTCTATAAACATCCTTCTAATGGTTTATTAATTAAGCCTGGGCCAGAATCCATCACTTTTCACTAAGGAGTATTTTTCTCTGCCAGTATTCCCATTTATTTCCCTGGGATTTATTACAATTCAGAAACTCCTAGGGTGGCAGACTGTGAATCTTAACATCAATTATTAAGTTAATTTGGACTGAGGTAGGATGTGAATTTAAAGTGCACTTGCATTACAGATGCTTATCTGTAATTCTTTGGATGGATGCCCTCCTGCCAGAGTAAGAGTGTGCTGCTAATCAGTAATCCACTTTCAAAGACTCCTGAGCAAGGCATAAATTACTTCTTTTGGATGTAAGTAGTACCTAAACTAAAGAGAATGTCACAGTTCCTGTGGTCTCCTTCCACTCTTAAGATGCAAATATCGCTTGCACTGTTACTTAGGGATGTAAATGCTTTGCAAGGAAAAAGCACAGGCTTCCGTTTTCTTGGTTTACATTTTAACACGTTTAACTATGGGATTAGCTCCTCAGTGCAACTCAGTGTAACTTAATCTGCTTTAATGCGTGCACACGCACATTGTTTGGCATTACATTCCAGTATTCGACTCCATAAGAACAAGACTGTAGTTTCTTGCTACATGTGTTCATGATGTTCTTTGCAGGGAGTATGTGTGAGTCCACACGATTTTTATATGCTTACACTCAAAATGTCAACATGAATCTGTTTGCTCCTCTTGGAATGTAAACACAAAAAGGGTTAAAGAATGAAAAAGCAGCAGAGATGTTTCCCGGAGAAAACAGCCCCACTTTGAACTAAAGAGAGATTTTTTCCAGTTTAGCTTTTCAATGAGAGTGGCAGCAATTGGCAGGAGGATCCAACTTTTACAACTGTGTTTTGAATGTATGAAGTACGTTGCTTAGCTACTAGACGCCAAGCGATGGCTGCATGTTTTGATGGGCTCTGAATACCATCATGCTAATTTTTGAACATCCAGATGTCTTCTTCTAAATGGCTTGGGTTTTCGGCATGGGGTAAATGTGTGAGGTACATTTTCCATCTTTGTTTACTAACGGAGGCCACCTTGAACTTTGTGCCTCTGTGTCAACAGAATAATATTTGCAAATCATTTGTCAGCTGAACGCGTGTCCTCAGCTGTATGTAACTGTTTATGCGTAGTTAGAATTTAAATTATGCGTCCCTGTTGCCATACAAGTCTCTAATATAATAATAATCTTCATTCTGGAGCAGCATTTACTTGGATGTTATTTTTGACACCGAAAGAGGCTCTCTGAAAAGGTAGTAGCTTTACTTGAGTTCCTTATAAAAGAAGAATCCCATCAGAATTCAGCACCATTGCTTCCTCCTCTTGTCTTGTCATTACTTGTTTAAAGATAAATTAATAACCATTCATAGACTGAGAGTGTGCTGGCAGCTCTCCTTTATTATAAAATTAGTACTGGCGGTTCAAATTATCATCATCATTCATATTAGGAAGTACTTCCCATGCACAAAGATTTTTAGAAGGAGATTTACTGGTTCTGAATTAAAACATTCGCTCGCTTTTGGTCATAATCCACATTTACTTTGATAAGGGCTTTAAAGCAATCATGCTGCAGAGCATAGTAAATAGTAAATAAATATGAACATGGGTTCAGTTTTCAGACAACTGATGTTAGAACTATTTTCAGGCTCTACATTGCTTATCAGTGGTGGCAAGAACCATGTAACTAACTGTCCGTTAGCTGCAGTGAATCCGTTTATCCTGTAACTGCAAGGAAAACTACAGTAACGTGTCTGGTCATTATTATCACCTGTGTAGGAGATTGAAATTATCTATCACTAAATATTGCAGAAACATAGTTGGGTTGCACAGTGATGATTTAAATCCCCAATATCTAGTAAGGAGAAGTATATTTTCCCAGTGGTCTCAATTTGTTGTTTTGACCCATGATGGCCAGTCTCGAGCCTGACAGAGGTCTGATTTGTCAGTACCAAAGGTGATAATTTTCTAATAAGTCCTGTGAGAGCTTTCATTAAGGCAGTTTGCCTTAACAACCTTAAAGAAAATACATGGGTCCCCTGCTGTTCGACTACTTTGTGGTTGAGTCTTTGACAGCAGCTGTAAATTTTTGGGCCACATGCATCCTCAGCGCATCTTCTGCGGAATATGGTGATGCGAGGACCTGATCATCTGGTGGCCAGGTGAGTCCTCCGCCCTGCGTGGTGGTAGAGGAGCAGCTGTATGGTGGGAAGGAGGAAGAGCTTGTAAAGCCCTCTTCCCTGGAGGTTAGCTCGCTTTGTTCTCAGTGGTGGTGAAGTCAACAGCAAATTTAGAATTTAGTCCGTTTCAGGCTTTTTTATTGTGAACAGTTCTCAGAAGCTGGAAACAGGTTATCTTCAGTCTTTAGGTTTTTACGGATGCAACAAAATAGTTGCCAGATTATTCATCACAGTAGAAAAGCGTATTAGATGTGATTTGCAAACTGCACTTGAACTCAAACTGTTTTTTTTTCTGAGGCCTATCCTGCTCTGCAATTATCCTCTAATATTCATCCAATCCCTTTTATTAGGGACCCTTAGTTAAATGCATTTGGACAAAATCCAGTTCTCTTGCTTTCCTTTCCCCCCAATTCTGAATCATGTGAAAATTAAAGTAGATATTTCTCACAGTAGATACAGGCAACAAGAGAAAGAAAAAATACTTTCCTAAGTGCTTGTTAGCATCATCCATGATAGTACCATCATGCCTGGCTCTAACAAAAAGTTCATGCTAGAGCCAAAGGCCACTGTCCTGCCTTTTTCTACACAGTAATTATATGGGTCTTGTGTCTGTGATTTAGTTTAACTGTCAATCTGACAGTGCTGTTGAAATTTAACAGCAAGCTTTGAATTATCTCAGCTCTACAGATGATAATTTCATTGCATGGAGCACATGCTTTCTTTGGCTTTAGTCCTTTCTTCTTTTTTTTTATTTTCTGTATTATCATCTTCCCACAATTATTATCCCATATTAGTAAAACAGATCACTGTACCAATGGTAAATAGAATATATTTCACTCATGTTTATTATTATTACTCTGAAGAAATTATAAGGTGATGTGTCTACCAGTTTCATAGTGTTTTCACCAATTTTGTTGGAAATCTAATACATTTAGATAATGTCCCTGGGGAAAATAAAGTGGGACATAACTTGTGCAGGAGAGGTATCGTGATGCACACTAATCTACAGGGATGGTGTGGGGTTTCCCCACAGAGGAACTACGGGTTAGGCAAGTTAAATTGCACATTTGCCCTTGTTCACCAGACACCAGTTTCATAACTGAAACTGTTTGCCCTTCCCCTCCCCATGCAAAGTCCAAATGCTTTCTGTGCATTTGGTCAATATTTTTAAATAATCTGTGGTTTGCATAATACTGCTGCATTTTCTGTATATGTTTTAGGGGAAAAAAAAAGTTTTGTTAATCTGTACACTCAGATCTTAAAAACTTAATCCAGTTTAGGGTCTATTTCTAATACTTGGTTGCAGAGTGTCCTTGGATACGTTGTACCTAGGGTCCCCATACCACGCCAGAGCAGAGTAAGAACATGTCAAAATACCCACTGCGGTGAGGAGGTAGTTTCTGAAGCCAGCAAGCATAGCATGCAAGTGCTAAACTTAGCCCAACGGGACATCACCCATACATTGGGTTTTCTTGAATTTTACCTTAGAATTCAGAAAGACAGCTCTGTACATT